TGGGGAGAATGTTCAGAGACAGCAGCAAGGGAAATCTAGCACGGGAGGATGCTATAGTCCCAGAGACAGGTGCTCACATGGCAGACTTTCAGGGTTGGGGTGGGGTGTAAAGACTGACCCCGCAGGACTGAGAACACTTGGGGAGGCAGTGTGGATCTATAGGGCTACCTGTGGTAGTGTCTGACAGGAAGGACTTTTATGGAGCCCCGGAGAAAGGCACATAGTAAAACCTTTGTATAAAGGACTCATTCAGTCAAGGGGGTTTCCATTAAAACTGAAAGTCCCTTAATAATAAAGTAGGTTTTTCGAATGCCTATGTTCAAAATTTGACAAATTAGTTGTAGATATAGTTGTGTAATTAAGATTAGGTATTTATGGCAGTTTTAATTTCACAGAGTTTTCTCTGTTATTGTACTTTTAAATTTATACTGAATAAGTCTAGTAAATGTGTGCATTTACCAGTCACTGCAAGTAAACAAATGCCCACAGCTGGGGTGTGGCTTAGTATCACGTGGGAACATCACCTGCACCTGTTAAACTGCTTCAGAAAGTCACACCACGTGACGACAGAGCCCATGCAATGTGATCATGTGCTAATCATTCACTGAACATTGTTTACAAGTGGTGACTTTTGGATTTAAATATGGATATAGTTGTAGATATGTAATATTTATGTCAGCAAAAACTAAGTGTTTTTTCAACATATGGCCTTTTTGTTAAAATATGTTAAAAATAACAGGGAATTAATAACAAAAATACCCTGTTAATTTCATTATTAGGCACACCTTGGTTAAAAGCCTTTTAAAATTGACAGTGTTAATTTTCATATATGGCATATGGACTGGAAATTTTGTCCGTTAAATCTGAAGTCCTGTAACACCAAAAATGGAGCTCTCCTTGTTAACCCTGCCCCATCTTCTTTCTGGAGTGTGGAGGGAATGTCTTCGTGGCGTTGTCCATGCAGGCTTTTCTCTTCTGCGAGGGCTTTTCTGTTTTGCTCCGCTTTTCCCCCCGGGCGTGAAGGACAAGCCCCTCAGCAGGAGTGCCGTCATGCCTCTGATGGCAGAACCCTCGTCACTGGGCTTGCGCTCTGGATATGGGTAATATCCAGAGTCAGTGGAGCCTAGCCTGGAGCCTCCATTAGATGTGGGCCTTCGTGGCGGCAAAGGCATGTCCTTTTGGGCAACAGGCCAGGCCCTACCCTCTGTGCTGCTGGGTGTCCCTCATGGAGCAGCAAGGCCACTCACTGCTGAGGAAGATGAGGAGGAGAGCAGCCTGAGTTGTGAGAGGCACTGTAAGGAAAAAGCTGTTTGTGAAGCCTCTATTTAACCGCCTTCACAGCGCAAGTGCCAGCACTGTGCCACTCTCTAGGAGGGAAAACAGTAGGCTGTCTTCCCCAACCTCAGTGAACCGCCAGTCCTCATCGAAGAGAAAGGCAATACATTTTATTTTGGTGCAAGAAGTGTAACATGGGTAATGTGATCCTGGAGCTCTGAGACAGGAACATCTCACGTCCTGAGGGGAGGGACAGGATGGTGCCGGGAGGTGATGTTTGAGTTGAGCTCTGAAGGATGAGCACACATTGGGACTGTGGCATGTCAGCCATCCCACCTCCCACCCCACACCTTATTCCTTTGGGAACATTATGCCTTTGGCTTTTCTATGGTCAATAGAAGAAATGATTACGGATGGAGTGGCTGCATGTTCTGTCCTTGTATTTGCATAGACCCAGGCAACAAACTCTCGTAGACCCAGGGGAAGTCTGCCTCTTGTGACCCAACATGCTTGCTTTTGGTAGTGAGAATTTACAAACCTCCCTGAATTTCCCACTTGGCTTCCAGGAATCTTCCTACTAACATGTGAACTTAAAGTAGAAAAGTTTTCTTTAGTGAAATTCTTTCCTATAAACTCTTTATTTCCCAAACCCTTTCAGGAATTATTTCTTGCTCTCTTTGTTGTTGCTTAAATGGATTAAGAGTTTTATTCTAGTAGCACAAGTCCATTTGGAAGCAGGCAGAACATAAATCGCTGTGGAAATAGGTCAAACATGATATGACTTTTCTTAGCATTTCAAACTGCTGTCTACTAAGATGTTTCCAAGTTGCTGAGGATAATTGCCAGGTTTGGTTATTTTGGATTGTTATTGCCCATTTCCTTCCAGGGCCATCATTAAATAGCTGAGCATTTGAAATCAGTTTGGGGTTTGCTGTCTTGTAGCAAGATGCTGGCTAATGACTGACCAAGCAAGATTGGGTGGGGTGCTTCTATTTTTTGATTACTGGGGAGTTGGCATTCTACTCTGGTCCAAGTGGTGACTGATGGCATAGTTACTATTCCTTACCATTATCATCCCCCCCCCCCCCCCCAAACACACATACTTTAATCCTGGTTGGCAACTTGCTGTTTGGAGATGAGTGATTCTTGGCTACCTCTTACATGAACATCTGCACTGGCCTCTTTCTGTTGGAAAAAGGAATGTTGGCAGATATGTAGACTTCCTTAAGCTTTTGCAAATCCCTGGAGATTATAAAGAAATGGGAGCAGATACTCTTGACTTCTCAGCGTAGACCATAAGAGTTTAGATGAAACTTTTTCACAAGGTAGAGTGGTAATAGACTATATACACATTTATGTTAAACACACATACATTTAAAATTTTGTGTTGTGCAGGGACCGGTTTGGCTCAATGGATAGAGCGTCGGTCCCGGGTTCGATTCCGGTCAAGGGCATGTACAGTGGTTGCGGGCACATCCCCAGTAGGGGATGTGCAAGAGGCAGCTGATTGATGATTCTCTCATCGGTGTTTCTATTAATAACTCTCTATCCCTCTCCCTCTCTGTGAAAAATCAATAATATATTAAAATATATATATATATTTAAAATTTTGTGTTGGGCGGGAGTAATAGTGACCAGTGGTTAGCCCCTGAGCCCCTTCTCTAAGAATGGTCGGCATTCTAGGCTGCTATGTGCTGTCTAGGCTCCTCTAGCTGAGGCGGTGTAAGGTTTGGTCTGAGCCTTCCTAGGTTAGAAAGGGTGTGGTCGGTATTCAGTGTCCTTTGTACCATGCCACATGGACTTGCACTGGCCTTGGTCTGGACAGTGATTTGTCCTTGGTTAGATTAGGCACACGCCATATAACTCTTGGCTTTCTTTCTCTCTTGCCTCCCAGATCTGCTTGCCTCTTAACTTTGGATTCTTATTTTTCAGTATGAAATGAGTGTTTAGTTGCTGTTCTGTGCTGGTTTCTATACCCTTCCCATCTCTGAGCTTTTGTTTATTCCATATCCTGCTGTTCTCTGCTAAAACTTTACCAAGACAACAGATTGATTACTCAGCTTTCTCAGAAATAAGACGGCTTGGTTTTATTGGCCTTCCAGTAGTGTTTGCTCATCAGGTCTTAAATCCTTATGACCTTATTCTGTAAACTCTACAAAAAACTTCGGTAACTTAATACATATCTATGGTCTGCATAATTAATATTAGTAATGTACGTATGTGAAGTATTTAACTTTTTTAAGTCTCCATAACTGAAGCTAAATCTAGTCAGAGGCCCTGATTTAGGAACTCCATTTCAAAGTTGCTTCTAACTTGCTGAGTGACGTTAGGCAATATTTAACCACACTCACTGGGCCTAAATGTACCTTAACCTGTAAAATTAAGATTGGATTCGACCAGGTTTTGAAACCATTGTGGTTTGTTGGGGTGAGGATGAGAAAGACAAGGCAGTCAGGGGAGTTATATTTTGAAGACTGCTCCATTTAGTAAGTTGGAAAAAAACTCATGATGGTGCTTGACATCACTATAAGTCTGGTTCTTTTCACCAAGGATCTGGGCTGGCCATCCCAGGGCTCCTATCTCTTTGTTCCTGCTCCTACTGTTCTAGCAGCACAGATTTTTTTGTAAGCCTAATGTTCCCCACTGAACTCTTCTCCATCTTCAAAAGAGTTGAGTGTAAAAAATGTCCTATCCTGTGGACGAAATGGAGCCATATGTTAAACCTGACAATCTCAGGAGGCCTGTGTGTGGTGGCCTTACAAACATAGGATGGTCTGAAATTAAAACTTAACAGAAAGCAGTTTATAGTGGGTAGACTTGTCCTAGGCTAAAAAACAATCTTCCCTGACAAAGGTCAGTTTTCACCTTTACAATAAGCCTGTTGTTTTTTGGATAATAATCTACCTTTGGAATGTCAAAGTAATTTCCTTTATCCAGACCCCTCAAAGCAGAGCACCACTCTGTGGAGACCACAAGTCCCTCGTTGTTAGTTGTTGACTGTTAACCATCTGTCATTTTACTTTGTGTGTGTGTGTGTGTGTGTGTGTGTGTGTATATATATATATATATATATATATATATATATATATATATAATTGATTTTTCACAGAGAGGAATAAAGTTAAATATCGATGAGAGAGAATTATCGATCAGCTGCCTCTTGCATACACCCCACCAGGGATGTGCCAGCAACCAAGGTACATGCCCTTGCCCAGAATCGAACCCAGGACCTTTCAATCCACAGGCCGACGCTCTATCCACTGAGCCAAACCGGTCCCGGCTGTCATTTTACTTTTTATACAAGCCCAGAGGTTTCCCTAATTTGCTTTCTCCTGCCTCCCTAATCTGTCAAATAGATTTCATGTAACCCCCTTACAGCTTCTCTTTTGATTGTAATGTATAAATTAAGGTGCAAAACTGGCATTCTCTGGAGCAGTTTCTTAATCTGTTGAGATTTTGCTTCCTGGCAATTATCAATTTGGCTCAAATAAACTCACAAAAATTCTCTATGGGTTTGAATATTTCTCGTATTGACATTGTATCTTCCCAGAGTACCTTCCCCACTTTGGTGGCAGAGTACACTCTGCCTTTCTGGCAATCGTGTATGTGTAAAGAGCGGGGCAGGATCTTCATTTCTTCATTCTAATCGTGCAGTGCCTAGTGCTGTGCTTTTCTGAAAGTGCCATAGATCTACCAGATGGCTCAAAAACTCTTTTCTCTTTTAGGACCGAATCATCAATTTAGTTGTTGGCATCTTAACATCCTTATTGATTCTAGTAAGTATCTTTATTTTGTGTCTCACCCTTTTAAAAACTTTAGTATTGTGGTTCAATAAACTCTTAAAAAAAACCCCAAAAACTTAAAAAGGGCCAGCATATCAGCACATGAAACATTCCAGTCATAATTACATTAACACTTTTCAATTTTAATACCACTTAAAATTGCAATTAGTAACTCGAGTAGCTCAATTGGTTTCCACCTGCATATAGTTGAATATGTGAAATAGTACAAGTCAAATAACTTATTTTTCTGAGTTTGCCTAGTAAATAAGTAACGTGTCAGTGTCTACCACAAACTCCCTTCTGTACATCCTACCGGTCCTCACTTTTTTTTTTTGATAATATCTTAAGTTTACTTTGTTCCTTAAAGCACATTCATCATATTTTGGGTTAAAACTATTTGGTCATATTATGCAGCCTGTAAAATACAGGTTGGTGCTATCACAATAAAATAAAAAAACAAAGCTATTTCCCATAGTCTGAGAGTGACATTTCTGTGGTGCATGTTGATTAAATGTAAGAAAACTTGAGGCAATTTGTTTGCAAGGCTTCTTAAAAAAAAATAAAAAAAAATAATAATAGGTATATTGCGGTATCTATGGTAGAAACAGATCTCCATAGGGCATTAGAAATCCTTTTCAGTAATTTTTCATGTTAAGCAAAAACAGTTTTGGTTATATTTTTTTGTTGGGAGTATTCAGAATAAAAAAAGGTTAGGACTTTTCCCAATGTAATTATTAATCCTAGCATAAGGCTAAAATTCTTTTTAATCTTTGTTAATGAAGAGATTATTTTGAGGTTAGCTAGTTACATTGCTCTTTTGTCACCTTTCACAAAGAAGGAAAAAATAAGAAAGAGGAAGTGCTAAATGAAGTAACAGTCAAGCAAGTATTTTATTAAACATTACATTAACATCCCATAAGGCAAATTTGGTGATAAGTCACTTTACAATGTGAAGTATGTTATATTACATTGTCTTAACTAAATTACTCCTAAGGCCTAATTTCTCTTCATACAGGTAACGCTGATCAGTGCTTTTGTTTTCCCTCAACCACCTCCAAAACCATTGAATATATTTTTTGCTGTCTGCATCTCTTTGAATACTATTACTGCCTGCATACTTGTGAGTACTGTTTAAAACGGAAACTGAATATCCTGGAGGGCTGAAGGTTGCTGTACCTGGACAAATTCCCAGCTCTGTGTCTATCTGAAAGGGTATCTCTAATTACAACCCCAGCCCAAGGATACCAGAATTCTCAATATTAATTGCAGGGTTTTCTTTTTTAATCTGAATTTCTTTTCTCTTAAATCCCAAAGTTGTAACCTTAAAGGGAAACTTCCCTTGGTGCTAAAAAATGGGGGAAAAAAAAATTTAAAAAGACTTAGGTGGCCATAGATTTGTTGTGCTTAATTCATCTTTCTTCAAGAACTGCATACTGCGCTCAACAGACTTTGGGAAAGGACATTACTGTTTCTATGGGAAGAGATACAGCACTAGCGCTCTGGGTTTATTTCTAATAATTAAAAAATCTTTTATTTTATTTAAAAAAATATATTTTATTGATTTTTCACAAAGAGGAAGAGAGAGGGATAGAGAGTTAGAAACATCGATGAGAGAGAATCATCAATCAGCTGCCTCTTGCACACTCCCTACCGGGGATATGCCTGCAACCAAGGTACATGCCCTTGACCAGAATCGAACCCGGGACCTTTCAGGCCGACGCTCTATCCACTGAGCCAAACCGGTCCTGGCGTAATAATCAAAAAGTCTGTTTTAATTTCTGAGCTTACCTCCCAAATGAAAGTAATTCTCCAGGGGAACCCAGAGCTGTAGTTGTACTTGTCACTTCAGTTTTTTTTTGTTTTTTTAAAATATATTTTATTGACTTTGTACAGAGAGGAAGGGAGAGAGATAGTGAGTTAGAAACATTGATGAGTCATCCATCTGCTGCCTCTTGCACACCCCCTACTGGGGATGTGCCCGCAACCAAGGTACATGCCCTTGACCGGAATCGAACCCGGGACTCTTCAGTTCCCAAGCTGACGCTCTATCCACTGAGCCAAACTGGTTTCGGCTGTCACTTCAATTTTAATTTTACTACAAAGCTTTTCTCTTAGGTTGAGAAACAAAGATGGTGGTATGCCTCAGCTGAGTATTTGCCAAGTGTCAGTCATTCATTAGTTGGTTATTGTTTCATTTCCTTTGATAAGAGGCAGAATCAACACAGCCCTTTATATTTGTTTTGACTCACACAGGGCTTAAATCATAAGAGCAATATGCTCATTTGACTTAAGATTAAACAGGATCTCCAAACTAATGCACCGATTCTGCTGTCCTGTGATCTGAGGCAGGACTGGCCACCTCACTTCAGGAGCCTTTGGAACAGCGGCCAGAGACGCCCCCCCCCCCCCCCCCCCCAGCCCAGAGCCAGAAGTGACTGACAAGAATTTAGTTTAAACCAAACACATGCATATGTGAGCCCTGTTTTGTACTGGCAGCCTGAATTGTATATAAATTAAAAAGTTGTCGCCCCTTCCAGAACCTAAAGGAACTGTATTTTTTACTCAAAAATGAAGGGGTGGGGAAAGATAGGTTTAATTGTTTAGATGGAGAAATATACAAAAGAATAAAGTCTGGCATACCCTTAACTGCAAACCTATTTTTGCCCACCCTGTATTTAAAACATCCAAAAGGTTCACATTTTTGAATGCTTGCCAAATGATTGGTGGATGCTGTGGTTTGAGCATAGATCAATGTTAACTGAGCAAACAGGAACAGTATATTTTGGATGCGGAGACTTAGTGATATTACTTGAATGATAAAGAATAAGAATTGAATTCTGGCTGCATTAAATCTCAGGAATGTATATTAATACAAAATCTGTCTCATCCAGGGGAAAAATAATTAGTTATATTTTAAATACTTGAACCAATGGCTATTACTTAAATTTTTATTTAATTCTTCTTCTTTTAGATCTACTGGTATCGACAAGGAGATTTAGAACCGAAATTTAGAAACCTAATTTACTATAACTTATTTTCTATCACCATGTTATGTATATGTGCGAACCTGTACTTCCATGATGTGGGAAAGTGAGGCTGCCAAGGAGAAAATACTTACCAGGTCTCTTCAAAGCTATACATTAGGACTGTGAATAAAAGCTGGATAAGGTATGCTGAAGAATCTCCTGCACAAGTCTGATACATGATTTTCATGTTAATTGTAAATCTAAATCCCCTTTTGCAGGGGAGACATTATATAGATCACTTTGCTTTTTTAAGGAGCGGAAGTTGCACTTCAACATTCCACATTCCAACCCTTAAAGCTCAAACAGCACAAGCGATTTTCACTTTTGAAATTGAAATTTTTTATAATGTAACGGCATGGCGAAAGGCTATGTAACAATCAATCTTGCATTTTAAGACAAATATTCCTTTTATTTCTGTTAAACTGAATATACAATTATTGTTCCCTAGGCAACCAACTCTTGCTTAAAACTACAATTTGTTTTCACATTAACAAAACAGACGGGTGAAAAGACAATTTGATTGTGAAGATCTAATTACAATAATAAATAAAATAATTTATACAAGGTTGTTTTTTTTTGTTTACTTTTCTATAGAGTCATATATGTTAAAGCTTTTAAGAGGCTAGTTTTGGTTTAACCTTTTCTAGTACAGGAATGACTCTTAATTTGTTTCATTTCATTACAGAAGCAAATTTTGTTTTTTTAAATTGCCCGAGAGGGAGAAATTTTATCACACCCTCACCAGCTAATGCACTAAGTGAACAGCAAACTCTGATACCCTCCTTAATTATTTTTGGGGTACTTTATATTGCAAAATACGTAAGAAATGGTCATAATATAGGACAGGGAACTTCCTTCCCATTTCATTTTACTTAAAAGTGCTAATTTTGTAAACTGATGACAACGGGTTCTGAAGAAGTGAAAACTGTGTTTTGACACAACCACTATCCATAGTTCCTTTAAAGTAATAAAAAAAAAAAATCCTGTAGTGAATATTTTTATCTCTTAATGCTTTCTTCTCTACCCAGCTTGACTCAGCTCCCAATGCCAGCAATCAGTAAAACCAAAGGAAACTGCAGCACAATCATCTCCTAGGTCCGTGTCCTTGTCTATTGGTCAGTCTCAAGCTAATGATTATCTTTTTGAAGAAGGTCACTGGTAACTCCAGACCATGCTGATGAAATATAAAACAGTTTTACTTGGGACTAGTCAGAGATTCATATTTGATCATCAGAGATGAATATTACACCATTTTTAAAACACAGTAGTGAAACTTTGGTGATTCAAAACTCTTCTCAGTGGCTGAAGTGAATAAAATTCCCCGCTAATAGATGGCACTTACCATAGGGATCTATGTACTTAAGACCTCCCATACTATACTTCCATAAGACTAGACCTCAGATGACATATTTAAAGGAGGTAAAAAGTCATAGCAGCAACACTGTTTGTGGCTTAAGCACTGTATGTATTTAAAAGCCAGAGGAATGGTAAGTGAAGCCTCTTGGGGATTTCTCCTATTTCTTTGGGGATGTTGTAATTAACAGTGTGGCTTCTTTGCCTGAACTACCTGTTTCTAAGATTTACCTAATGACAGTTTACCAAATCTTCAACATCCTTTGAGTCTTCTGAAATAGGACTGCCCAAAGATGACCCAATGATATTTGATTCTTCTTGATGATGTTGGAATATGGGATCTGTAATGAGTTAAATTTCAAATTAGTCTTAAATGTATATAACATGTATATGCTAACCCATGTCAAGAATCTAGAGTAAGTATTCTACCAAAGTGCAAAATTTAATAAGACTAACCTTTATTGTGGGATCAAGAAAGACTAAAACAATTGAATTAATTATCTGCCTGATTTTTCTTCTTAAGACTTATCAGGCACATGATGGAGATGTATTACAATACCTGTTAGTGTTGTCAACGGCAAGACAGATTCTGTATCTATAACATCAGATGCCTGGATAAAGCCATTTGGTGAAGGAACAATAAGTATTGTTTCATCATCAATTGTTGTTTGATCAACTTGTTCTTCTATAGTAGGAGACTCTAAATCCTAAAAAATTAAAGGGAAAAAAAAAAAAAAAAAGAGAGATTCTGACTCAAATTATTAGTTTTCCTTAAAATCCAAAACATGTTTAAGTTTGAAAAGACTTAACTTTCAAGAATCCCATCCTATATAATAAAAGCCTAATATGCTAAGTGTCTTGTGGTCTGTTCAACCAATCAAAGTGTAATATGTTAATGATATGCTAAGGCCACTCAGCTGCTCACTGTGATCACCAGGGGACCTACGCTCCAATTCATAGGTTAGCTTGCTGCTGTGGTCCGGCTGATCAGGACTGAGTGGGATGGGATGAACATGCCCTGGAGCCTTCCTTTGCCTTCCCCAACCCGGATGGTGCACCAGTTGGGGGATGTTGGGAGAGCCAGTTTCAGCCTGATTACAAAGGCCAGGCTGAGGACCCCACTGGTGCATGAATTAATGCACTGGGCTTCTAGTTTGAAAATTAAAATATAAAGAAATGAAAGTTAAGGTCTTAAAGTGGACAAAAGAACCAATTCAGTTATAGGTCCCCTGATTATAGAATAATGCTCTTCTGCGGCATGAGGTTCCTAAGCTAAACCACAAAGACCTATATTAATCACCCTCAGGAAAGTGCTTCCATGGGTTCCAGCAGATGTTTCCAAGGGAATGCTTTCAGTGCGGGACAGTGGTAAGATGGAGTAACATGCTGGGCGACTGATACTTGTGCGGTCAGAGGTACGGGTTTGCACTTTATTTTGTGTCTAAAGAAAAGCCATATCACAGGATATCATATATATCCCCTAACCCATGTCAAAAATCCATATCACAGGATAACATATATATCCATAAATTATTTCTGAGCTCTTTCCAAACTGCAGGTTTGAAGCTCAAGGCAAGAACCCATAGGCTGTTCACTTAAGTATAACTTACCTCAGTAACGTAAGTACAGGCCAAATGAGAGTGTGATTCTTCCTCTTGTTTAAGGTCTTCTGTTCTGACCATAACACTATTCATCAGTTCTGTGCCATTTTGGTCACTGAATTTGGATACACGAGCATCATTAAATGATGGCTCTACAGTCACCTTAGGCTGATGAATTTCATCTGGGAAAGTATCTGCTTCCAGGGCATCTGGAGGCTCAGGAAAATCGGACGAGTGCATATCATTATCTACTGTCAGTTCTGCATGGGATATGGAAGAAGTGATGTCCTCTGAAGCAACTGTCTGAATGATGACTCTCGGTGTGTGACACTGCACTGTGACATTGTCACTTGTGTTCAACAAATGCTCTGGCTATAAAATGTTAAAAAAGAGATCAATGACAAAATGAAAAAGTACCTATCATATTCAAGTTATAGGCAACAAGTGACATTCATAGGTGCTAATATGAGCTACTGTTCCCTCCCACCTCTCATCTCTGGAACTGCAGTGTTCTTATCACGATTATTCTAGAAACCCTGTTCTCTGCCCACATGGGCCTTTGCTCACCTAATATTCCTATTCCCCTAATATAAATCCATCACATGCAAAGATTCACAGGGAGAGAGGGATTTGTCCCAGTGAAGGCAGAATGAAGATGTAAAACATTGGTCCTGGTACAACAGTGATAGGGAGAATGGTTTAAATACCGGTAAACTAATCTTGGTCTCTTTTAACAGGTATTCAAATACTTGAACCGAACTCAAAATAAATCCCTCTCTCCTCAGAGAGCTTGTTATGGAAGGCACATGGGTTCTAGCATAGTGTTAAAAACTAGAAAAACATGGAGACACTTGTCAGCCAATCTTCTCTACAAAAACTAGAAAATCCAAAGAGTTTATGTAAGGCAACATACAGATAAAGCATGGACAATGATCTGTTCAGGAGAAGCAGGCGCAGCAGCCGTCAGGGTTACTGTGGGACTAGCAGTCAGAGTGAGGGGAAGGCCTTGGCTTGAGCTTGTCTGAAGCAAGTAGGTACCTGGAGTCCCAGTGGGCTGTAAATGGAAAGACTAAAAGGAAAAAAAGCACATCAACACAGATACATAGACTACTGAGTTAGGTAAGTAGACTTACTAGTACTCATTAAGTCTAGCTTTGTATCCCAAACAGGGACTAATTCACTAGCCACAAAAGTACAATTGTGTAGGTGTAAAATAATAAAATGAAGGTTATAATATCCTTTACTTTGTATCCCTCTTAAGTCATTACTTAGCCTAGAGTTAAAAACAGAGAGGCAAGGCCTTTTCCCTGCTGTCTACTTTCTGATTTTCTATGCTCTGCTCTTGTTTCATGGGACTAAGATGTGGTAACATGAGCCACTCTTTCCCTTGTTATTAGCACATAAAAACTATCATTCTCCCAATTTCAAAAGCTTTACATTTTTGAAAAGGCCAGTGTTACTTGAATAGGTTTTTTTTTTTTTTTGTCTAGAAAGATTTTAGCAAATATTTTTTATATTAAGAGGAAATGTACAGACATAGCAATTAGCAGTGTTCTGCTAAAGAAAAAAGAAAATTCCTATTTGAAAAGCTGGTAAATGGACAACACATTTATTTATCAATACACTATTGGCCTGATGCACACAATTGATGCACATTAAAAGGGAAGAGACCCAGACCCGGCTGGCCCCACCGGCCGGCTGGGGACGCAGCGTCAAGTCGTTGCCCACCCGTGCCTGCCGCCTCCTGCCGATCTGTCATTACGGCATGAGGGCATCACGACCATTAGCATATTAGCTCTTTATTATATAGGATTAGAACGATAAATATTTGATTTTAACCCGATGAGTAAAAACTTGAAACATACCCCAGATATATGTGTATACATTGTTTATTTAGTCAGGGGGAGTAAAAGGTAGCAAAAAAGAAAAGTTCTGTTTTATACTATGAAAAAAAGATCTTTATCCCTACTTTATATTTATAGACTACTGGATTAGGCTTAAATAAACTAACAGAAGTTTGTTCTCAAAGAGAACTTTTTGCTGTGCTGGCAATTCTTGTGAGATTTGGCTGCGGAGAGTAAACTCTTGCACTAACAGTCCTTATATTCACAATAAATAAATCTTAACATAATTTAAATAAAATATTTTATATTTTCTTCATGAAAATGGAACGAATTCTGGCTTTACTCTATTTAGAAAGCAGGGCAAAAAGTGGGAGTTTTTGTTTTGTTTTTTAAATATGTTTTTATTGATTTCAGAAAGGAAAGGAGAGAGAGAGAAACATCAGTGATGAGAATCATTGACCAGCTGTTTTTTGCATGCCCTCTACTTGGGATCAAACCTGTAACCCGGGCATGTACTCTGACCAGGGAGTCAAACTGTGACCTCTTGGTTCATAGGTCAACACTCAAACCAATAGAGCCACACCAGCGGGGCGAGAAATGGGGAGTTTTTAAATAAAATTTCCGTTTCCCCAAAAGAAACTCTTCCCAATTAGCAGTCATAGGTTTTCCTATTTTGGAAGGCTCAAGTAGATTGTAGTTAAACACTATAGGGTATTTTCAGTCTAGTTTCTTTCACTTAATATGTATTCAAGGTTCATTCTGATTGTAGCATGTATATAAATACTTTGTTCTCTTTTACTGCCAAGCCGTTTGTAGGCTTTAGGACATTCCATTTACCCATTTATCAATGGATGGACATTTGGGTTGTTATTGGTTATTGTGATTATGAACATTCATGTACAGGTTTTTAGACATTTCTCTAAGGCATACCTGAAATTAGAATTGGGTTATTGGTTATTATGAATATGAACATTCATGTACAGGTTTTTTATTTTTTATTTTTTTAAAATATATTTTATTGATTTTTGTACAGAGAGGAAGGGAGAGAGAGAGCAGGAAACATCGATGAGAGAGAGTCATCGATGAGCTGCCTCTTGCACACCCCCTACTGGGGATATGCCCGCAACCAAGGTACATGCCCTTGACCGGAATCGAACCCGGGACCCTTCAGTCCCCAAGCTGACGCTCTATCCATTGAGCCAAACCAGTACCGGCCATGTACAGGTTTTTAGACATTCTCTTAGGCATACCTGAAATTAGAATTTGGTCACATGGTTTAATTATATTTTTAATCTTTTCAGAAACTACAAGATTCTTTTCCAATGTGGCCATGCCATTTAAGACTGTGACTTTTAAATTCTGTATCTTCACTGGCTAGTACAATGTTTACTGAATGAATGTGGTTAAGTAATTTATTCTACAAGCCTTTTCTCAAATAACTAATATGAACCTTTTGGTTATATATTTACTTATGACTCAATACAAAGTTACAGCATGCATGTGCCTTACTCGTTAGCGCTGTCATTTTCATATATAAAAAGAACATATTGTTTGTTTATATACAGGTGGAGAAAAGACTAAGTGGAAAGCTAATTTATGTTGTCTTCTAAATATCTGGCCTCAAAACCATGGACATAGTTGAACTTAATGCCAGTCATGTTTTCATACTTCATTTGCTTATATGTAGTGTTTCCAAAACGGATACCGCTGATCTTTCTCATACATGAAAATGGCAAAGTGTGCTTTGTGAAATGTTACTCACTGGAAGGATCTCAAACGTTTGTAGTGTCCCACTGTTTAGTGTTATTGTTTCCGAGTCAACTGGAGCAGCAGGGGAGTCTGTTGAAGCTGTGGTAAGAGCAAGGACAATTAAATACTCTGTAAATTTAAATTTTACTAGTGTACTTACTTATGCCTGAATTCACTTTTGAGATATTAAGAAATGGATTTTTCTGGAATGTAGCATGTATATAGATCAGGAATTGGCAAACTGGCCCACAGTCAAATCCCTCTACCAGTTTTTGTAATCAAGTATTACAGGAACACAGCCACGTGTTTCTTTTCTATGGTTGCTTTTGCACTACAATGGCAGAGTTGAGTAGCTTGAGAGAAACAATATTTACCAGCCCCTCGTAGAGGTGGTAAAATATTTCTAGTGTTAGGAAGTAAGAGGAATACACTGAGGCTAACTCATAAAGAAATAGGAAGTTGGAAAAAAGAAAATTTCCTAGACATTCTGATAAGCGGTACAGATGTCTACAATGGTAGTCACAGACACTAGGTTTTAGTTTTAGTGGCGTCACCTCCTAGCAGTGTAAACCTGGGAAAATAATTTTAATCTGTCCTGCCTACCTCATAGTCATGAGGATTAAAAACATGAAATAAATATAAGCATTGTTTCAGAACAACCACGTTTGGGAGACTGATCAGCACTTTAGAGATGAGATAGTATAATCCCTTTAGAGGTGTATCAACTGAGACTCAGACTTCATCTACTGTCTGCTGAAGGTTTTTAAAAAATATATATTTTATTGATTTTCTTAAATAGAGGAAGAGAGACACAGACAGCCAGAAACATCGATGAGAGAGAAACATCGACCAGCTGCCTCCTGCTCACACCCCACTGGGGATGTGCCCACAACCAGTACGTGCCCCTGACCGGAATCAAACCCGTGATGCCCCAGTCCGCAGGCCGATGCTCTATCCACTGAGCCAAACCAGTTTCGGCTATCTGCTGACGGTTTCACCTGGAACTAAAATTTTACTATAAGAAAGATCTCTTCTGATGCTTTCAGTTGCACCTGTAGGTAAATCCATCTGCAAAATGATTTGGAATCGACTCTTCGTGTGTAATGTTTATTGTAAGTTTATTATATTTTGACTATAACACTTCTCAGTTTGAAAGAAATACACTTCATTTGGGTTATTTCTCTTACTATTTGATGTTTCTTAAAGATCATACCTAGAATAATTTGGAAATGATTCCTGATAAATAATCTAAATATGTGGTTAGCAAACTGTGGCTTGCGAGCCACATGCGGCTCTTCCACAAAATACCACGGCCTGGGCAAATCTATTTTAAAGAAGTAGTATTAAAAGAAGTTTAAGTTTAAAAAATTTGGCTCTCAAAAGAAATTTCAATCATTGTACTGTTGATATTTGACTCTGTTGACTAATGAGTTTGATAACCACTGACTATAGACAAATGTACCTCAAGGCTAAGCTATGCTGTGAAAAAATATTAAGGTATCTACACTAATAAAAGAGAAACATGCAAATGGACCATACCTCCGTGACGCCTACCAGCCAATCAGGAGTATGTAAATTAACAAAGATGGTGGGTTAATTTGCATATGCAGATCAGCTGGTGGCTGGGTGGCCACTTGTGCATGCGCTGGCACCAAGCAGCCTGCATCCAGGGCAGGCATCCTGGGAACAGGCATCCGGGACCCAGGCCGCTCTGAGCCTATAGGCCTGGAGCAGCCAGGGTCTCAGCATGCTCTGTGACCTATGTAATTTGCGCTCTGGGCCTAGGCGCTCGGAGGGGAGCAGGAGCACACGGGAACGTCTTCTGCAGCAAGTGAGCAGACAGCAGGGCCTTGCTTGTCCTTGGCTGTGGCAGTGAGAGGCACGCAGTCCCCCGCAGGGCCCCCACAGAGAGCAGAAACCAGGGCCCTGCTTGTCCCTGTGGCAGCGAGCCAAAGAGCAGACAGCGGGGCCCTGCTTGCTCCTGACCCTGGTGGCTAAGGGCAAGCAGGTCCCCACAGAGAGTAGACACCAGGGCCTGCGGTCATCAAGCAGGCAGGTCTGTAGAGAGCAGAGGAACATGGGGAGCAGGCCTAAGCTGTCAGTAGGACATCTCCTGAGGGCTCCCACATTGGAGAAGATGCAAGTTGGGTTGAGGGACCCTCCCCACATTGCACAAATTCTGTACAATGGACTCCTAGTCATTTGTAAAATGCTTGCTATTTTCTAAAAAATTATTGCTAACACAATAGTCAATAAAAACTGTAACAATCTCTATGCCAAAAGTAGCTCTTGTATTTATTTATGGTAGACTATTAATTTCAGGTGCTTTGCAATTCTCAAGTATAAAAAGAAGTGCCCAAGAAAAATTCTTCACGCTTTATTACAATGATAGAAAACTAAAGCAAATAACCAAATTTAAATGAGAACTTTAAGAATAAGATAGGAATGCTTAATTTAAATGTCTATCAGGTAACTTTGATAGTCATTGCATATACAAATATATAATGTTAATTACATAGTGATTTTTAAACAGGATCGTAGGGTACATTTGAAAATCTGTAGGGTGTTTTTTCCCCCCCTCTAATGACTGAAAAGCACTACTTGCATTCCGTGGGTGAGGTCAAGGGACACTGACCATCCTGCAGTGTGTAGGGAGTCCTGTCAACAAAGAACTGCCCCACTCAAAATGCCAGTAATCCCCTGGTTGGGAATGACACACAGTGACTGGTATACTCTGGGCAACGACCTTTCCACAGTCAAGTTGCATTATGTAGGGGAAAAAGGTAATGTATAAATAAGTTAAGAATAACATGGTCCTAAGAATTTTATATTCATTGTCATGCTAATGGGAAGAAGGTAGATGATAATCTTGGCTTAGGTCTTAAGAAATATATTTTCCCTGCCTACAACAATTGCTAGGGGTTCTCATAATCTCATTAAGCACAAAAAATGTCAGGGGCTAAGGAAAAGATGGTTAAAACAAGTTCCCACATAAAAACTGGCTCTTTAGTCCATGAAGAAAATCTTTTACAACTTCATCAAAATCCTTTCTTTTACATACCACCTCAAATCCATTCCTAATTTGTGACCTCCAGAGAATTACTACAAATGATATGCCACCTTATGGTCTCTGTTTCCTTGCTCAATTGACTACATGAGGTAGTTTTTATTAATCATTAACTTTTTTATAACATCTAGAAAGATAATTTCATATTGTCTACAATGGCTGGCCAAATGGTTACCAGCACTTCCTATCATATTCATCTTTTGTGCATGTATTCAGCTAACAAAGTGCCAAAGGTCTCCTTTAATTCATCAACTTGGATAAATTTCAACATTCTGGAAGATTGAACGGTATCAGAGCCATTAACCAAATTACATAGGTCACAGAGCAAGGAGTCTTGAGGTCCAAACACTTACAGACATGGGTGATCTGGACAGGAATCTGCAAGGCTGCCATGGGGCTTGGAGAGAGAGCTGTATTGTCTTCCAAGCGGGCCACTCTGATCTGAACGTGCTGTACACTAGAACTGGAATTACTGTTTGGAACTCCAGATCCCGATTTGTTCTCCAAAAGCGTTGGGTTGTTTTTTTGATTCTCATGTAACTGTTTAAGACCTTTTATTAAGACTGAAGGGAGATGGGTAGACAAAAAGAACATTGATTCTCCGACAGACCACCATCTAAGCAGCAAGGGAGGTGGGGGGTAAGGAGGGAAAGTATTTGTAATAAATAATTGTATGCTGGATGTGAAATCTTACCAAAATAATAAAAATATTTTAAAACTACAGCCTTTCTGGGAATTTTTAGAAACTTCCTCCATCACAACAGACTTAAAAATTCATGACATAATATTTATTGTCCTTGCCATTTAAGATGCATTGAAAATAGCCATTGTGAGGAACATGGAAATAAGACATTTTCTGTGTCCTAGGGTTTCTTCATAAAATTCTTACTGTTCAGTAAAAGGATTGATAATGCTAAATAGCTTATTTTCATTTTTAAATGAAAGTGTACCTCCCTCACTCCCCCCACCAAGGACTCAAGGGCACTTGAATATTTAGCCACTGCAAGAACAGCAGCTCATCAATTCCAAACTAATACATGATAAACTACATCAATCCTCCCAGGTGGTGCTGCAGTCTGGCTTGGTTCATGTTACATCAGTATTCATTCACTGTTCTGGGGTCTTATCAGATATATAGATTTGTAATAGGGTATTTAATTGTTTTAAAAAAAAAAAAACATTTTCCTCTAGAAAAATATATGTTGGAGAACTGTATTAAGGGAAATAAATTTAATTAAAAAAATAAATTAAGCACACTTACAACTTAGTAATTAGTGGCTGAGTGCACAGCAGGTAATAAAAAGTATGCTATTAAGCAACCCCAATATAACACTTTTAAGCAACCCCAATATAACATTTCTAGGTTTATATAACAAATGATATTAAAAATTTACAGAGCTATTTGGTACAAAATAAATTACCACAGAATTTCTTTACATAACAAAAGTTAAGATATATGAAATTATTCAACTCATAAAAGTCCATTAAACCAGTTTCCAGAAATTCATCTTTGTATACAATGAAAATATATACAATTTAGTTCCTCTTCATAGTTTATGTGAAAACAAGAATGTGTGTAAATATGTATATTTTTATCTTAAGTGCCTTGAAAGTACAAATAACATCAACTCTTGTTTTCTAAGAAATAGGGCATCAGAGATTTAAGTGAAAATCTATAACTCATATCTTTTTAGCTGAGACAAAGAACTTCTAACCTCTAAGCCCAGGAGCAAATATGGTTAAGACAAGGGACTTAAGCAGAAAATACATTACCAGGGAATGAAACATCTTTATGGTTTGCAATTTGCCTTTTGATGGTCCACCATTTACTTCGAAGCCACTGTGGTGAACGGACACTGCTCCATCCCTCTGCCAACAGATCCCAGTTTATGTCATTTTCATCAGCTACATCAAGTTCTGCTATCCTACAGTTACAAAATAAGCACCAGTTAGATGTTAGTTTATTTCTCTATAATTTCCCTTCTCATAATGACACTGGTGGCAACAGGTATGGCAGGTTATGTCCTTGAGATGCTATTGTTAAATTCACAGTATGAGATTCCAGGGGTGCAGAGCTGCTTCCAGAGGTAAGAGCTACAAAATGTCACCAGCAAGGGACTTGTTAATGGTACAACCAATGGGCAGAATTGTAAATGAACCAGATAAACCATGAAGGAAAGAGAGTAAAGGTCAGAATAGGGTAAAAACAGGTTTAGTTGTATAGTGTTCTGCAATGTTTTACATATAGTGTGTTACAGGAAGTTATTTCCAGGATCTTAGCTTTCTCATTTGTAAAATTAAAATGTAGAAATGAGCTATTTATAAAGACTAGTTAAAAAACACACATAACTATCAAAAACAAAACCCAAAATAAGAATGACAAGATAAAAAGATTCCAGCAACAACCCAACCTCCCTACAAACAACTAACCCTGGGGTTTTGATGGTTTGTTTGTTTTCTAGCTTTTAACTGTCGGGCTGATTTTGATTTTCGATAACAGTTACAATAGCTTCTATTAATTACTTCAGTGTCTCAAATATTTTGTGTTTTTTTTTTTGTTTGTCCCCCCCCCCCCCCCCATTTGAGTCACTGACTCTTCATGGTTAAACCAACTAATTAAAAAAATAAGCTTAGGATATATTACCTTAGTTATTTTTGGATATGTATGAAACGCAAGTGCCTGATCTTGTCCAGTTTGCAGGTGTGTGGTAACTGCAGTCTGGGACCCCTCTTTGGCATTCCTACCACAGAGGCCAAAGATGGAGGGCATGGAGACTGAACAGCCCTCTCACCTGCAGTATGGCCACCCAGCCAGGAATGAGGCACACTGGGGGGACAGTGGAAAAGCTGCACTGCCGTTGCCTGGGCCACACTGTTCTGTGGATATAGAGAACTTCAGTCTCCACGCCTTCAATCTGGTACTTTGCATAAGCACTAACCTCACTAAAAAGGAACAAAAAATAAAACAAAAAAGAGCTCAATATGGAATATGGGAAGGATGCTTTTCAGACATTAGGCATTTAGGCGAACCGAAAGAGGAAAATCAAGGCACCAACAGCAATTAAGGAGCTTTTGTCATTAAAAGATTTAGGACACAAACCTGAGGATGAGATTGATTTCATCTTCCTTGGTCCACTCAGTCCCTCCACTCTGCTTCCAGTTCAGGTAGTTGAGCCATTTAGAACGACACTGCTTTTCTGAGCGGGTACCTACTCGTTCTGCCACAGCTGCCCAAGACACACCCTGTGTGACAATGTCACCTGGCTCAGTGCTGGTCAATTCATGAACCACCTCTGCAAGTCTCTTTTCTTCTTCTTCGGTCCACTTCCCTGAAAAAAAAAAAAAAAGAAATCATCCAGAATGCTATTGCTTCCTTCTCTCTGTCTCTGTCTCTGTCTCTGTCTCTCTCTCTGCAGATCAGACTCAGCCTTCTATTTGTTTTTTGTTTTTTTTTTAATTTATTTTAAAATATGTTTTATTGATTTTTTACAGAGAGGAAGGGAGAGGAATAGTTAGAAACATCGATGAGAAACATCCATCACATCCATCAGCTGCCTCCTGCACACCCCCCACTAGGGATGTGTCTGCAACCAAGGTACCTGCCCTTGACCGGACCCTCAGTCTGCAGGTCAATGCTCTATCCACTGAGCCAAACTGGTCTTGTCAGCCTTCTATTTGTAAGGACTGATGGGAAGTAGGCAGTCATACTACAAGTATTTTTAATAACCCTCAGGTGTGAAACTGCTTATAATATCTACTAAAACAGCTGCATTTTACTAGCCCAGTCAGGTTCTTAGTACAAAAGAAAATACTACAGAATACAAATACAAAGTACACAGTGACTAAGAAAAGCTATTCAAAGCATAACTAGAAAGAATTATGCACTCTCCAGTTATACCTGGTCATAAATGGAAGGAGCTTCACTGATGGCCTGATGGACACAAAAACTCATAGTTTGAGTTTAAAACAAATACATACGAACTATTTGAACACAGCTTCTTCCTAAAGTGGGACCTGGTTAGAACTCAAGTTTTTCATAAACTTATGTTGATAAGCTGTTATTAACAAAAGTTCAACAGTTAGATGACCTTAAATTAAAATTACTTCCTGTATATATATATGCCTTAAAAATCCCTGTGTGTATTAGTAATCCTTAAAAATACTTTCCCAACTACAGCAGTTTTGGATTGCTACAAAATGGAAACACGCTTAAAGCCTTTGAAACTGAAATGTTGTGTCTCTGTGAGCAATGCCACTTTTACACAAAAGCACAACAATAAAGAACTATTTGGGTCTATTAAGCCTGAAGAAAAAGGAAGGCTAGGAAATAAAATTTCTGAATAAAAATCTCTTTCCAGAACAGAAGGGAAAGTAGTCTCAGAAAGGCCAGGAAGCTCAAATGTGACCAAAAATGAAAACAAAGAAGAAACCCACCAGTAGCACTCACAGTACCTGTGTTGCAAGTATCCTTCATCAGTCGGCACCGATCTTTGACGGAAGATGCACTTCTTCCTAGCGCCGCCCCTATTGTTGCCCAGTCATTGCCATGCTTTATCCGGAGCCTAAAACAAGAGTCTGCCAATCAGCATTTGGTTCAACTGTTTTCTCCCTTTTAATTTCATCATTTATTCTTCATTCTTCTTCTTCCCATTTGACTGGTTTGGAAGTTGTGGGCAGCAACACTTTGAGAGCCAAAGTTTGAAAGTGTGGCCTTTTTTGGGGGTCCACAGTTGTCTGTGGGTGAAAAAAAAAACAGGCAGCAATTGCCTTTTTCCTGGGTCAGAGAAGAAATAAGTAACTTGGATATGTGTTCAAAAAAGACCAAAATTCCCCTCAGGTTATCGACATAATCTCCCAGATTTTTCCCTTTTGAATACTCCTAACAAGCTCTTTTCAGATATCTGAAAAAGTTTCATAAGTACTTATCATTATAAACAAGATCATCCTTCAATTTTTTCATTATATATATATATGACATTAATCCGTACTTTATGGTTCTAACTCAATGAAGCAAAATTGTATTTCCTGTGAAAGAGTCCAGAATTTAAGTGAAACACTGCCAAGTCATATTCATATTCTAAACTAAGCATGTAGCACAACCTTGTTTTGATCCTGGTATATAAGTCCCCCAGATTTAGACTTCAGGTCACCAAGCATGGCCACCTGATCCCTTCTGTAACCCCGAACAGGGGTCTAAGGATGCATTTCATTTGTTAATCAATGACAGGAGGAGACTAAATTTACGGGAATGGCTACTCTGTGCAGGTATGGATCTGATAAATTTTTATGGTCAATCATGCTTAACAGCAGGATTAAATTAGACCAGTCTACAAAAATCTCTTGATATTTCAAAGTATAATTTTTAAAATACAAGACAAAATAATAATAAAAAAAACCCAACTATCAGAATTAATGAGTAAAAAATTTTAAACTTACTCCTTGAGCTTTTCAATTTCTTCAGGTGTATATCTAGAAATTTAAATTAAAAAAATCAATTAAAACAAAGAATGCTAGAAACCTTAATAAAAATCAGAATTTAACTTAAGGGGTCCAATGTTAAAATAGATAATATTTTCAAGGTAACCAATTTCAAGGTAGAATAATAAAAATTAATACTTCAACATTAAAAAAAAACCATTGATACCTTTAGCTATAATAAAAGTGAGTACTTTATAATTTTCTTTAGAAAATGCAATATTTAAAATATATTTGCTCCTATGCTGCCTAACTCTTCCTTTAAAAATCTGGTTAATGCCTGGCTGGTGTTGCTCAGTGGTTGAGCATCAGCCCAGGCTGCAGGCTCAATCCCCAGTAGGGGGCATCCAGGAGATAGCTCATCAATGATTCTCATGATTGAAGTTTCTATCTCCCTCTCCCTCTCCCTTCCTCTCTGAAATCAATAAAATGTGTTAAAAAAAAATTCAGTTCAGGCACTCTAATATCATAGCTATTCTGAAATACTTATCGATGACATTGTAAACCAGAGCTAGGAAGAAAATCTATGTCACAAGGCACTAAAAAGTTTAAAAGTATCTTCATTTTCTCTACCCATACATGTGCACGCCAATGAAAGGCTCTTTTTTTTTTTTTTTTTTTAGTGGGCAAGTATGCAATACAGTCAATGCAATACTCTTCTAAAAAACAGTATTCAGCCCTGGCCGGGTGGTTCAGTAGGTTGGAATGCCATCCCACACACCAAAAAAACACAAAAAAGTATCAGATAAGCCATATTATCACCACCTAAAATTCCCAAAGAGAAATAAAAATCATGTCAAAACACCATATAAATAACTGAATTGGAAATATGATGCCTTCCCATGTTACCTATAACAGAAACCTATGCATAGTATCCAAATATTTAGTTACTAAAAAAAAGTCACTGAACTAGGAAATGCTATAAACTATAAAAATAGGAAAAAAATGTTACCAATGAATTTATAGAGTTCTCTTCATACTTCCTAAATCTTTAACCACTACTACAGTTTTTATGTTATTACAAAACAGACTTTGAGGTAATAAGTCAGCCAAATTTTTAATCAAACTTATGTGAGGTAATATATGTTCTAATTCCCAAAAGAGTCCTTAATTATAATGAGGTTTCACCATATTCAGAACATGGACCTGGAGAAACATAACCTAATAAATAGCTGTCTCCAATTAAGGCTATGATAGTAGTTCAATTTTTAAAAGTAGTTCTTTAATATTTCTCCTAATTACATGAAATAATACAACAATACAAGTTTCATACTTTCCCACATGGTTTCTGTCATCATACATGCGAAGCACTCTTCTATAAACTGCAAACAAAGGCCGATTCAGACCCCATGCTATCGTCCTGTAGAAATCTTTTCTTTCATCTTTTGACATCTCAAAGATGATTTCTGTAGCATCTTTTATTCCGCGTGCCTAAATGGGTTACATTTCTTTGATTTAGGGATTTCTGATAAAATACATATGAATATACTATACTTTTAAATCATTTAAAAAAAAAGATTAACAATGGCATTTTGAAAACTAATATTGCTAATTCATTTAATGAGTATAAATTTAAAATGTTGCAAGATAATAGTGATACTTAAATATTTCCAAAAATAAACTGTATAAAATTCAGAAAAGTCAGGTTCTGCCAACCTTTTAAAATTATAAAAAATTAAGATCTAAAGAAAGTAGATGGAAGAAAATAATAAGAACAAAATTAAGAGAATCAAAAATAGAAAGAAAAAGCAATGCTAAAAATTGATTCTTTGAAAAGATCTATTGAGACTAATAAAATATAAAAAGATAAACTTATGGCAAAAGTAGTAAAAAAAAGACAAAACAGCAATATTAGAAATGAAAAATTGGGCCTTCAGAGATCAGACAATTGAACATTATGAAAATTTTATGGTACTACATATAGAAACTTCCATAAAATAAATAAATTTCTAGAAATCTTACCAAAACTGATTCAGGAAGAGAAAAAAATATCTACCTAATAAGCACGCACCATCAAGAAAATTTAATCATTTATCAATAATGAAAACCATAATGAAATAATGAAAATCCCAGACCCAGATGAATTTATAGGTAAATCCTTATCAAGCAAAAGAACAAAAAACAAAAAAACCCACAAAACATAATTCTGATTTTAAACTATTCTAGAGTAGATAAAAAAAAAAAAAAAAAAAAGGAGGAAACACTTCTCAGTTCATTGTATTAGGCTCGCATAGCCTTAATATAAAAAACAGACAAGAACGGTCTCAGAAATTAATTTTCAGGCCAAGCTCATCCATTAATACAGATCCCCCAAATCCTTAAAATAGTTTAGCATGCTTATAAAAAGGTTAATAATTAATGTAAAAAGTGAGCTCATTCCAGGAACACAAGTAATCAGATGAGTAGATTTATGGAAAAGAATATAAAATCTCAGTAAGTGTGAATAGAGCATACATAGAATAAAATATTCATATATGATAACACTCCTAGCAAGTTAGAAAGCATGAAGCTTGGAAAAGAAATAATTTGCAGATATCCCAAAAATCTATGAAAATTTTGATTTAAAACAGTAGGAAGTTAGGAAGGCTAGTGGTTATAAAACCAATATATAGTCATCTGCATTTCTATACAATGCTCATAAAAAAGTCTTTAAAAGTTCTCATTTACAAAAGCACCACAATTAAAACTAAATCTTACGCAAGTTATACAAGGAAAATATGAAAGTATTGAAAGATTAAAGAGGAACTAAAATGGAGAGAGCTATACAATGTTCTTCAACAGGAAGATGGAGAATTGTAAAGATGTTAATTCCCCTGAAATTGATGCACAGATTCAGTGCAGTCTCAATAAAAATTCCAAAAACTTTCCATTCTCTGCAAGTTTATTCTAAATTTATAATGGAAGTTTAAAGTGCCAAGAACACTCATGAAGATTAATCTAGGACAGAATGGACATTAATTTTGATATTGAAATGACACCTAAAGAAAAGACAGGACAAGATCATCTGTAACACAACCAGAAAATCATTAGGATCTGACATACGTTAAATTGGACAAGATCATCTGTAACACAACCAGAAAATCATTAGGATCTGACATACGTTAAGTACATCTAGAAAAAGGAAAATCCCACAGAAAAATTGCTGAAAGACAAACAGGAATTTCAAAGAGGAACCACAAATGTCCAAATATGCCTATAAAAACATGTAACCAGAAATTAAATCATAATAAAATAGCATCTACACCTAACAGATTTGTACAAATTAACAGCAAAAAGAACCTGTTGAGGGACTGGATAGAAAAGATGAAGGGATTTGCCCTGGCTATTGTAGTTTAGTGGTTAGAGCATCAGCCCACACACCAAAGGGTTCGGTTTCTAATCAGGGGCACATACCTGAGTGGCAGGTTTGACCCCCTGCCCGAGTCGGGGTACATGTGATCAGATCCCCAGTCCGGGCACATGTGGGTGGCAACCAACTGATGCCCATCCCTCCCACTCCAACTTGTATGAAAAAAATGTCTTTGGGTGAGGACTAACAAAACAACAACAACAACAAAAAAATAAAGGGATTAGTAGTACAAATTGGTAGTTACAAAATAGTCATAGGAGTATGAAATACAGCATAAAGAATATAGTCAATAATCCTACCTAATAAAAGAGTAAAATGCAAATTGACCGCACCTTTGCTACTCCCAAGCCATGACCACCAGTCAATCAGGGTGAGTATGCAAATTAACCCAACCAAAATAGCATAGAAAGAAGCCAAGAGCTGCAGAAGGGAGCGAAGCTGCAGAGAAGCAAGCAAGTGGGGCAGGGGAGAGGGAAGAGAAGTAGGCGGGTAGGTGAGAGTGCAGCAGGAAGCCCTATTGCAGGAGTCTTCCTGCAACTGGCAACTAGACATAATAATATAAAGCCTTAATGTGTAATCACCCATTGCAGGAAGTGTTGCTCTAGAGATGGGGCGGAAGCTGGGAGGCTCCCAGAGGAGGTGGGACCAGCCAGAGGGACTGAGGGCGGGGCTCGAGAAGGCCAGAGGGGAAGGGGCTGGGCCAGGCTAGCTGGAGCTCTGTGTGGAGAGGTTTGGGTGTCATGGCAGGGCGGTGGGTGGGTGGGCAAGGCCATGTGAGTTCACATGCTGGGCTCCCAGTATTACAATAACTATGTATGGTACCAAGTGGGTACCAGAGGTATGGGGTCAGGGGAGATGTAAGTATATGACTGTGATGTACATCTGAGGGATCCCGGATTGGAGAGGATGCAGGCCAGGCTGAAGAACTCCCTGTCCCCGCAAGTGCAAATTTTGTGCATCGAGCCTCTAGTAGTTAATATAATGGACCGAGGTAGTGTTAGGGATGAATCAACAGCTTGAGCTGGTACAACTAACCACCAGAGTGACTAAAAACACTGGCAGGGTAACCTTAGGGTCTCACATAATTGGTTATGAATCTGTGCAGATCATGCAAAAATGTATGGTTTCTTTCACTCATAGGTGCCACCCAGGGGCAGCACTGAGGCTGCTGATCTGCCTTCAATGGCAACTAAATCCCACACCACGCCTGCCTCTCCCTGCCCTGAGCACCTCATTGCCCAAAGCCCTGTGGGGCTGTGGAGTAGAGAGGCTTTTGGTGCTGCCTGTTGGTAAAGGTGGGTGGACAGACACTGTCTTTGGTTGGTTGATTGTTGCAATCAATAAACAAGAATAGAAGGAGAGAATTTCAGATTCTTCTACATCACTCAGTTCCTATTACCAAAATTGTTTTCCATCTTTTTCAGGCAAGCAAAGAGGACCAACAACTGGTGGAATGTGAAAGTCAATAAAAGTAGAGTTTCAAAATGACAAAGATGCTCACAACTGGGCCCAGTTCAGGATATAAGCTACTTTAAAAAACAAGGTTTTAAGATTGTGAGAGACTATTAAGATTCTGTCTAAACTCCAGAGTGTTAACTGAAACAAAAAAGCTATTTCAAAATTGGTTTAAAAATATACTAAAATCATACACCTTTGAATCAAGTTACATTAGCCAGTCATCCATTACACAAAGTATTAAAAAGCTTCTAAGTACATATTTTATGCTGCTTTGATGTTTTTGTAATTGGCAGTGAACAAATTACTGAAACAAAAAAAATATGCCATAAGATACCTTCAGGTAGCGTTCAATATTGTTCATCAAAATATCAATTTCTTCCTTGGACCACATCCCCTGCTTCCATTTATGTCCTTTGAAAGAAAACAAGTAATATTATAGAAAATGTTATTCCTTGAGAGGAGTACATTACTACAGATTTGCTTTCTAATTAAATATATTATCTATGAAAATAGAATGTAGCTAATCTAATTTCTCATTTGCCTGAAACGTGAAAGATCCTTAGGTAAAGTTGCTTTTGAAACCTCTGGTTTTTAAGAAAAAATATATTTGACCCTACTAAATAAAGACAATGGTAAGGAAAAGATTTTAAAAATGTTACTTCCACTTAGTAATTTTTCTTACCTTTCAGAATCTAGCACAGTGGTCACCAACCGGTGGTGTGAGACCCACCGGTGGTCCATGAGGTCTAAAAGGTTGGTGATCGCTGGTCTAGAACACTTAAAAAGACTTATAAGCATTAGAAAAGCCCAACTGTGCCAAAAACTTGATGAAAAATTTCTTCAATGAAAAATAAACTTTATGGGCAAAATAACATATACAAAGATTCTAGGTAAACATAATACACTGGATACCAAGTGATCAGTATATTCTAAATGTGTACTTATAGTGGTTAAAGACAATTTACTTACTTTCGCTTTCTTTTCTTACAGTGGCACATTTACAACCCCCATTCTCTTGTAGCAGCTTCCTAGCAATTCTAATGAGCATAGTGGCACTACCAACACCACGTGACTGTGAGCCTCTAAGCTACTTATCAGACCAAAGTAAGTAGATCTCTGAAAACGGATTTCCTAGTCCCAGAAGCAGTAACTGTACTGTACTGTCTTTTAAATGTCACCGTTACCCAGCCGGCACCGGTTTGGCTCAGTGGATAGAGCGTCGGCCTGCGGACTGAAAGGTCCCGGGTTCGATTCCGGTCAAGGGCATGTACCTTGGTTGTGGGCACATCCCCAGTAGAGGGTGTGCAAGAGGCAGCTGGTCGATGATTCTCTCATCGACGTTTCTAACTCTCTATCCCTCTCTGTTCCTCTCTGTGAAAAAATCAATAAAATATATATTAAAAAAATAATAATAAAATAAATGTCACCGTTATCCAGTTGCTCAAAAATTAACAAAATCTACTTCATTTCAGAAAAAATGATCAATTATTGAAAAATGATTTCATTAGCTCATTCAGAGCCAAATTTAATTCAATGAGGAAAGTTCAAGTTTAATTCAATTAGAAATGAGCCAGTCAGAAAAGATTAAGAACCATAAGATTTCCCTCATATGTAGAATATAAAACTGAACCTCATAGCCATAGACAACAGTCTGATGGTTACCAGAAGGAAAGGATTGGGGTGGAGTAAAGGGAGAAATACATGGTGATGAAGAACAATCTGACTGTGGGTGGTGGGCACACAGTACAATATACAGATCACATATCACAGAAATGTAGACCTGAAAACTATATGATCTTATTAACCAATGTCACCCCAATAAATTTAATAAAAATAAATAAATAAAAAGAAAACCTCAATTATTGTAATCACAATTTTGAAGGTCCAACTCAGAATCCTAATGATTATATTTCTCAATTTTTTCCAGTGGACACTAAAATTCACAGTATATTTTACCTTTGTTAGTCAGAGAATCCTTATCTTCTTTAGTTGTAAACCATGCTTGGCTAACTGCTGAAACTTCCTCGTTACCCAAGGGAGATATTTCATCTAGTTGCTCTTTCTGTAGAATCTTGAAAAGGTAAAAATATACATTTGTATATTTATATATTTAAGTTAGTTCATACATACAACAAAATGGAAATGCTGGGGTTGAGTTATGATTTTTAATGTCCTCACAGGTAGTTTGCTATCTAAATATTTAGTCATCTGTAATGTAATCTGTTAAATTTAAAGGATTAACAGGCTAAATCAAAAGACATTTTACAAAATTATGGCCTGCTTACTGTTCACTGACAATTTTATGGTAGCCAACATCTAGAGTGTCATAACTCCTATCTTCATAAATGTACCCCTTCTCCTCAAAGAATTGTATGATACTACTTTTTTTAAAAAAAAATAAATTTTTATTGTTCATATTATTACAAATGTTCTTTCCCCCCCTCCACTGCTCTCCTCCATCAGGTCCCGCCCCACCCTCTGCCCTTTCCCCACCCGCCATTGTCCTCATCCATAGGTGCACAGTTTATGTTCAGTCTCTTCCCACATTCCCTTCTCCCCTTTTCCCCAAGAATCGTCAGTTCACTCCCCTTCCATACCTCTGATACTATTATATTCAACAGTTAATATTGTTCATCAGATTTTTTTAAAATTTCCTTGGTTTTTAGATTCACTTGTTGATAGTTACGTATTTGTTGTTCATAATTTTTATCTTTATTTACTTCCTCTTTCTAAAGAACCTCCCTTCAGCAATTCATATAATTCTGGTTTGCTGGTGATGAACTCCTTTAGCTTTTTTTTTTTATTAGTGAAGCTCTTTATCTGGCCTTTGATTCTGAGTGAAAGCTTTGCTGGGTAGATTATCTTTGGCTCTAGGTTCTTACTATTCATCACCTTGAATATTTCTTGCCATTCCCGTCTGGTCTGCATGGTTTCTGTTGAGAAATCAGCTGACAATCGTATAGGTGCTCCTTCATAGGTAACTACCTGCTTTGCTCTTACTGCTTTTAATATTCTTTGTCTTTTGCTCTTGGAATTTTAATTATGATTTGTCTTGGTGTGGTCCTCTTTGGATTCCTTTTGTTTGGAGTTCTGTGCGCTTCCTGGAGTTGTAAGTCTAATTCTTTCACCAAGTGGGGGAAGTTTTCTGTCACTATTTCTTTCAGTATGTTTTCGATATCTTGCTCTCTCTCATCTTCTGGGACCCCCATAATCCTGATGTTGGTTCGCTTGAAGTTTTCCAAGAGGTTTGTTACATTATCTTCAATTTTCTGGATTCTCTTGGCTTCTTGCTTCTGCGGAGGAGTGTCTTCTGGCTCTTAATGTTTCAAATCTTTGACTTGATTCTTGCGATCTTCCATTCTGTTTTTAGGTCTCTGTATAATAATTTTTATTTCAGACAATGTATTCTTTATTTCTTGTTGATTCCTTATTAATTCTAGTTGATCCCTTTTCATATCCTCATAGGTCTTATTGACCTTATCTAGAAAATTCTTGAAAAACCTTATAAGTGTTGATTTGAATTCTATATCCAGTCGCTTTTTGTCTTCCATTTCTTTTGTTTGTGATCTATTTCGTTGTCTCCCCATTTTTGCAGCTTCCCTGATGGGGCGGGGTTTCAGGGTGGGGCCTACAGCCTTGGCTTCCATCAGCCTCACCCTATCGGGCTCCTGAGTCTCAGTAATACCCAGGGTCCTTCAATACTCGTTGCGCGCACCTCTGAGAGAAAGGAGCCCTCGATTTTCGCCTGCTACCAAATAGTCTAGGCTCTCCCCCAATGAGCCCAGGACTGGGGTTCAATTCAGTTGGAAGCGGGATTGGAGGTAGCGTTCAGAGCAGTCCGGAGCCCCTGTCTCTTTCCCGCCAGGGCAATCCCGCGGCACAGCCAACTATCCCTTCTCTGCCCGCAATGTGCACGCCTCCGGGACCTCCTTTCGCCGCTCCCCCAGGGTTCCGCCTTACAGCCTAGCTCCGTTTGAGCCTGGGCACCCGGGGTCTGGCCTAGAACTGGGATTCAGAGCAGTCGGAACTGGGGCCCAGCATAGTTGGAGCTTTTATCTCCTTCCCGCTAGGGAACGCCAGCCAGGCACTCAGCCGCCCTGCCCTTCCTCTCTGGCTCCATCCTCTCCGCGAGTGCCATGTGTCTCCGTACCTTAGGCTTTTACAGCTCCTCCGCTCTTCCTTCTGGTTTTCTCCTTGTTTCTCGTTGTAGAATTTCCAGTCAGTTGACTTTCCTGTAGTTCTGCGTAATGTCCATTTTATATTTTAGTTGTATTTTATTGAAATTGTTGTGTGCGGCTGCGGCTAGGTGTTTACCTGTGCAGCCATCTTGGATTCTCCCTGATACTACTTTTTACTATTATCGCAGCTAAAACAGTCTTTATTGAGAAACATGGTTAAAAAATAATTCACACACCATAAAATTCACCCTTTAAAGAATTCAGTGGCTTTTAGTATATTTATGCAATTATCACTGGGCATATTTTCAATGACATACATACTTAATCTAGCAATATCTACAGGAACAAAGCCATTTTTAAGAACTGGCCTTGAGCTAAAGAGAGCCACAGTGTGAGGAAAATCTGACAACAGTTCTGCCATCTGAGGTTTGACGTTATCACAGGCAGACTAGGATAAGGGGAGAATTAGCTGTCTAGTGATCACTCAACCTTGTGCTGTCTCTGGATTGGATCAACTACTAAGCTATGTCACTGGCTGGAGATAAGTCCTAACAAAGACTGAACTATTTCTTCAATAAACAAAAAAATGAATTTCTAACTTCCACAGGAAACAAAACCCATCTCAATTGGTAAGAGAGAAGCTGTCATTGAACCACCAAAACACAATATGGGGAAAAGCCAACTTTTATTGTTACTTTTTTTTATGTTTGGTTATTAATATATTATATTCATAAAAGCAATTTTTAAAAAATCCCTGGGCAAAAAGCTAAAAATCACTGATCAAGTATGAAAAGTTTTACAACTCTATGTAGCATACATTTTAGACTTTTTTCTTTTAAAGATCAAGAGACCTTTATAAAGCTGAGAACAGAGACAGACTAGACAGATGGTGTCTAAGGCATCTTGTAATCTGAAGATCACATTATTGCTGAACTTTTAACTATGCTTATTTTCACTAGCAGCTAATGTTAATCTTATTAAACATATATTAGAAATTATTAAAAGCTTTTCATTCACTAAAATGGTAATAACAAACCAAGATGCTAATATTAAATAACTCATTAACTCTTTGGAAATAATGCAAACAAAACAACCTTATAACTTGACTACTAACATTGCCACCGCTCAATCTTCTAGCTATGTTGTAAACAAAATTATACACATGTATAATTATTTTTACTGCATTGAAAACAGAATGGAAGTGAAGACTACCTAGTCTTTGAACCTGAAATGAATTGACAAGCCCCATTTTGAAGAAAGGATGTGCTCTATTGCTTCAGAAAGCTTGGAAAAAATTCCTGTCCAAATCACCAGCTGATACCCGAGGGCAAATTATGAGGAACTGCAGCCTATCTCAAAGCCATTTAAGCACTTCTCAGACCCATGCTTCTAGAAATCCTATTGTTGCGGAACCACTTTGAAGCACTCCTATTGCAAAAGGTTCATAGTGTCCCTAACATTAGATGTCCTTAGTCCTTAATGTTACCTATCAATTTACAACTATTATATACTTAACTGAACAAAGGTCACTGAGATGCTCCACATTAGAAAAATAATGGTATAATGTCTCTACTGTCTACTACTTCAAAATATTTTATTAAATGAAGAAACAAAAGAACAAGCTACTAAAAAGAAAGCCAGGGATAAATTTATAAGTAAAATAGATTTAAGTTTTAGGCTAAGAAAGCAGAGAATTCTGATTACTTTTGGGAGAAATAACTTATGAGACAGAGAAGTTCACATTAAGAGGAAAAAAATAAGACTGATTATAATCCAACTTCCAAACACATGGTAAAATGTATTCAATCCTACAAGCACCAAAAGGAACTACCATAACTATAACTACCCTAACTAAAACCTATCTGTAATGACTAGTTTCCACTGACACAGAATAGAGATCATATGTAGCCATTCTAAATCAGTCATTTCAGTTAACTGCTGGGTAAAACTACCTCAAAAAGCTTTTATATCCCAATCAATATCTTCTATAAGATAAAATTTAAAGTTATTTAACAGCTCAAGTGAGATCACTCCATGTAGATAAAGAATGTACAAGCATCACCTATTTCAACAAATGTGAACCACTCTACAGGGAATGAATTTTAAAATTTTACCTTTGCTTACAATTCTGAGATTCACATATATGTAGAGACTTGGAAATCTGAATGAAGTAATGAATCTTACCCTCAATTTTGTGGTTGCTACTTTGTCAGACAAAATATGTTCACAATATTTCCACCTAAGGTATGTGTAAAGGATGATCCTCTTGTAGCCAATAAAAAGAGTTGGCCCTGGCTGGGTCGCTCAGTTGGTTGGTGTCATCCTGATACACTAAGATTGTAGGTTTGATTCCGGGTCAGGACACATACAAGAATCAACCAATGAATGCATAAATAAGTGAAACAACAAATCAGTGTTTATCCCCCCCCCCCCCACCTCTCTCTCTCATATCCATTAAAAAAAGTAAGAAAAGATTTACTATACCTGAATCTGTGTCACAGTTCCCTCAGTAATCTCATCATCCGCCACCTCTGTGGTTGCAGTCATGGTCACCTCAAAGCTCTGATCATTTTCTGAAACTTCAAGGAAAGGAATAATTCAATTCTAGAATAGCAATGGCAGGGCCTAATTAGTTTTTAAACATCCATGGAAAAAATGGGAACATCTAATTTCCTAACACATTCCTTGCTCATATATATAAATATATGTATATTTTTTATATCTATGCATTTAATCAATATTTATTGTGCATCTAGTACCACAGTGGGTATCGCTGTTATTGGAGATAGCAGTGAGCAAAATCTGGTTTTTATGGTGCTTATATTCTAGTGGGTTAAACACAAAATGATATTATATTGTTAAACACAAACATGATATTATATTGGATGATGATAAGTAATAAGAAGAAAAACATAATGTAGGAAAGGGAATGTATTGGAAGTGAGGAAGGGTATTTGAAATTTTAGATAGAAGGCCAGGAAAAGTAACTAAGACTTGGAACAAAGTAAGGAAGGGAACTAGTCACTTAGGTGTCTTGAGAAAGAGAAAGTGCATTTCAGGCAGCAAGAAAGCCGAGTGCAAAAGCTCTGAGATGGGAAGATGTCTGAATTATCCCAGGAGTAGCAAGGAGGGCAGTGTGGCCAAAGCAGATTGAACAAGAACAGTAAGATATGTGTGGTAACTTGTAGGCAGCTATAAAGACTTGCTTTAACTCTCAGATAGGAAACCAATGGAAGATCTAGAGGAATGATATGATCTTTTATTGTAATACTGGAGGCTCAGTGCACAGATTCGTGCACCAGAGGAATCCCTTGGCCTGGTCTGTGGGGATTGGGCCGAAACCGGCTCTCTTTCCCCCCAGGGTCCTGGATTATGAGAGGGCGGTTCTCGGGTGATGCACCCCAGAATCAGGCTCCCTTCTTTTTGGTTCTGGATGTCACCCAAGAACCGCAGCTGCCAAGACACTCGGCAGCTCCTGCGTTGAGCACCTGTCCCCTGATGGTCATTATGCATCATAGCTACTGTTCGGATGGTTGGCCAGTTGCTTAGGCTTTTATATATAAATGATCCCCCTGGCTGCTATAGGGAAAATAGCCTAAAGGGCAGCAAGGGCTGGAGTACAATCAGTTAAGAAGCTAATTCAATAATCATGATAAAAGGCCAGTGGCTTGGACCAGGGTGAAATAAAGTAAGGGTGATTGTAGTTCAAATTGTGGGTATTTTGATGGTAGAGTCAATAGAATTTGCGGATAAACCAAACATGAGAGAAAAGTCAAAGATGATATTACATGTGTTTGTTTTTTTTTGTTTTTGTTTTTTTAATCTCAGCAAATGAAAAAAATGTACCTGTCAAAAATGAGATGGGGAAGATCGTAGAAGCAAATTTCAAAATTTATGAAGTTTCAGGAACTGAGTTTTAAACATATTAGTTTGAGATATCTACTAAACATTTAGAGTTAAAAGGAGAAGTCTCGATTGGAATAAATCTGGGAGACATCACCAGAGACAGAATTTAAAATCATCAGTTTTAGGGATGAAAACAGGAAACAGAAGCAGTCTACGGACTCAGTCCTGGGGCAGGCCACATTTAGAGATTTGAGAGATGTGGACAAGTCAGCATAGGAGACTGAGAAGAACTTGGACAGCAATTTAGAGGAAAACTAAAGAAATGTGTTTCCTGGGACCCATGTGACAAAATGTTAAGCAAGGGAAGAGGGAGTGATAAATATTGTTAAAAACTGTGGATAGATCAAGCAAGACAAAGACTGGAAGAAAGAAAAAAAAAAAGATTATCATTGGATTTAGTAAAAGGAGGTTTCTGGAGACCTAGGAAGAACAGTTTTGGTGAAGCAAGACAGGTAAAAGCCTGACTGAAGGAAGAATGGAAGAAGAAATGGAGGCAATTATTTCAAGGTACAATATTTTTCTCTTAAGGGAAGGAGAGAAATTGGATGGGAGCCAGAAGAGGGCTAATGGGATTTTTAAAATAATTATAATATGTTTACAATGCTAAAGGGAACAATGCTAGAGAAGACAAAAATGGATGTTTCAAGAGAGAACATCAAGAATCGTAACAATGTCGGTGAGTAGGCAAAGGGATAGAATCTAATAAAACGAAGAGCTGGCTGGCCTTAGCTAAGAGAAAAAATAGAATATATGGATATAGATACTTATATGTGTGTATTTGTGGAAATGAAAACTTATAGCTACTTCAATTTTCTCAGTAAAGTAGTAAGCAAGGTTATCAGTTGAGATTAAAGAAGATGGAGAAAGTATTAGAGGTTTTGAGATATAAGAAACAGTCATGTCAAAGTGGGATAAAGAAAATTATAGTGAAGTATGTACCATGTGACTGGCAGGCAACGTCATGAGCCCACTTTCAAGATAATGATGATCAGTTTCAAGTGGAACCAGTCAGTTTGCCTGTGCTGTTTTTCTCCCATCAGGTATAGACATAAGTGGGCAGATGAATTTAACCAAGGTTGTGGTTTCACCAAAGAACAAATAAGTGAAGGAAGGAAAAAAAGACCTGACGTCAATTCAAGACAGTGATTACAATGACTAATCATGAAAATGAAATTGAGTAAGGAGGAAAGAGGATACAAAGTGGAGAAGGAACAAAGAAGAGTGGTAAGATTAATGGGTGCCAATGAGGCAAAGGATCATAGAAGTTTAAGAGTATTAGAGAAAGTAAGTTGGAAACATAGGAAGCAGTGGTAGCAAAACAAAATCTGAAACAGAAAACAGATGGACTCTAGTTAATAGGTAGTAACAAAAGTGGTAATGGTAGAGATAAGGCAATGTGAAGAACAAAAAGAATTGGAGGCTAAGATATTGCACTTATCTGAATGAGTAATCACCAAGAGCTATACCTATGAATAGGGACTGGAGTCAGTGTGGTGGTAAATGATTGCAAAAACAAGTGGTCAATTAGTGGTCTAGATTGATTACTATGAAAGTTAAGAGGACTTTTAAGTCTTAGAAGATAAATTTTATCAGTTTTATAAAGCATGTAAAAATATGAATTTTAAAATTAAATTTTAAGTTAAATCTTTAAAAATTAATATTCGCCTTCACTAAGTCCAGCAAATGACTTGCTCATTCAATCAGCCCTAGATATATGGGACTTTATGCTTTTTTGTGAATGTTTTTAAATATAGAAATTTTTCTAAGTTGATTTATCAACACACTTTTTACAAATGCAGAAAACATGTAAATACTTCAAGCCTGCTTTTCATGAATTCAGTCTTATTGTAAATACTAGCCTTCAGAATCCCCTGCGTACATGATATGCTATGCTCCAATATCAAGTAGCTCATGTATTTTATAATGTTCAATTCAGACAAGCACCATAAAATAGAACAAAATATCATGTATAGTTTGAACCTACAATTATGATAAAGGCACGCTAATGAATTAACCAGTTAATAATAATATAATATATATTTGAAAGTTGTTAAAGAGAGCATATCTTAAAAGCTCTCACTACAAGAAAAAAAATCTGTAACTATATTTGGTGATGGATGTTAACTAATCTTATTGTGATTATTTCACAATATATAAATATACCAAAGCATTATGTTGTACAGTTTTAACTAATATAATGTAATATCAATTATAGCTGAATAAAAATAACCTGTAGCTTAGAAAATATCCATATAGAATTTTGTCTGTAATACAGATAGGTTAATCAAGTTTTAAAAGTGGAATCACAACATAATGACAGTCAAATTAGGAGTTTTAAAATATCATATGAATCATTAGGAGGAAAGATCACTTAATTAGGTCATTTAATTTAATTATAAATAGACTGTATTTGTACAGTCACAACTGGAAGCAGTATTAGCAACATGAACATTAATGCTATATTTATAAAGTTTCACAGCAAACTAACATAAAAGGATTTCTTTTCTGTAAATTTAACAAGCAATTAAGCTCTAAATACAGAGTATTTACCTATTTGTGAAAACATGATTTTCCACAATGAAAACCCACTGGATAAAGATGTGATTTTGGCCAAGACCGGTTTGGCTCAATGGATAGAGTATCGGCTTGGGGACTGAAAGGTCCCAGGTTCGATTCCGGTCAAGGGCATGTACCTTGGTTGCGGGCATATCCCCAGTAGGGGATGTGCAAGAGGCAGCTGATCGATGACACTCTCTCATTGATGTTTCTAACTCTCTATCTCTCTCCCTTCCTTTCTGTACAAAATCAATAAAATCTATTTAAAAAAAAAAAAAAAGATGTGATTTTGCTTGATGTGAGTGCAAAAGGAAAGTTCTGAGATATGGCAAGACTCTCCTTTATGTATAAGAGCCTTGTATTCCAACCCCATCAGCATGGACTAAGAAACCTATTTGACCTTTGAGGGAACACCACAGTTCAACAAGATTCCCTATTTTTTGCTAAACACGTTAGAAATATAATCTAACATTAGAGTTGTTGAGTTGTAGTCTTTTGCCAACAATACCGGAAATATGATAGCTCCTTAGAATCCAGTATACTCTAAATGATCTAGAAATTTAAACATGTTAAAACCTTAGTGAGAAAAACTAATCAGACTCCTATATAACTTCCAGTTAGCTATTTACCATATGAAGAGGCAGTACAGTATTGGATTAAGAGTATAAATTATAAGAACCAGAAATGGCTGGATGTGATCATTGACCAATTATCATACCTGTGCTTTAGTTTTGTCAACTATAAAATAGAGATAATAATAATCCCAACTCTAGAGCATGCTTTCTCATTGAGGGCAAGTGTGCTTCATGAGTGTTGTGCATGGAAAAAAAATGTTATTCTCTTTATTAACAAAGCAAGACAGCACATTTAAAAAAGTTCCTGGGGGAAAGCGTGATCAGGGGAAAAAATGTTTAAAAAGGCTCCTAGTAGTGGTGGCAGTGAGGGGGCAATAATAATAATAATAATAATAATAAAAAAGATTAAATTAGACAATATATGTAAAAGCATTTATAATCACTTGTGGCACATATCTAAGCACTTATTATGTATTAATTAAAAAGAGGGTTTATGATGAAATGAAGAGAAAAATAATCTTGCAAGCTAAAATTTAATTTTAAAAGGAAATTCTGCTTTTAAACAGTGACTTACGTGGAAGTGCAACAACTGATATGCAAGGAGCAGAATCGTCAATACTTTGATCATCCTCAGAAGACAAACAAAGCCTTTTATGCAGAGGTTCAGTACTATCTTCTGAGTCTATTTCATCAGCTTCTGATGAAACAAAACAAAACAAAAATCTCAAAACGTTCAAAACAATGAGGTAAACACAAAATCTTCAAGTAATGACTGTAAAACAATCTTCTTCCTGATTTGCTCAGTTAACTAAGTCCAGTTGTACAAATGGGACTCCAAACAATATTGCTTTCTCAGGTCTACTGCAGTACCTAAGCTTTTATTCTTATGGCAAGGAACTATGACAAAGGTGCCGCTTTTTTAACGTGACAATTTTGTGCTGTCAACAGTCTGGCTTTCCAAGTATTTCACATGCAAAGAAATTCACTCACAAATACTGAGTGCCTTCTATGTGTTAAGTGCTTGGAAAAAAACAATGAGAGACACTGTGATTATCAAGGAGCACACAGTGTGGAGGAGATGACTAAACTAACAATTTCAAAATAGTGTAATAAGAGCTATGAATTGGCTGATAGGAGCAAAGAGGAGAGGCATTTAATTTGGACTAGAAGTGAAGGAGGTTTCCTGGAGAAGATGTTTTTAACTTGAACAGAGCCAAAGGAAAATGAGTATTATTGGCAGTAGGAGTAATATAAGCAGTGACACTGAGGCATAAAGAGCTTGAGGTATATTAGGAAAGTAAAAACAGTCATTAACTGCTGGAATATAGCTAAGTGAAATGTGGCAAAAGTGAGTCTGAAAGGAAAGATGCGATGACGGGAGGCTATGTGCCAAATTAAAGAACCGAATTATATTCTAAAAACCATGGTAAGCTTTAAACACCTTCTTATGCTGTTGGGTATCATGATCAATGTCTTTGTAGTTTAAAAGATGAAATAGAGGTGGGAATCTGGTTAAAGGCTGTGAGAGCCACCCAGGTGAGAAATTGAAACAAGAAAGGAGGACTTGAGAAGAGAGAAGGGAATAGATTCAAGAAACAATTTTATCAACAAATCTTCATAATAAAACGAATGTGGGAGATGAGAGGATTATTCCTACCTGTATTTATTATCTAGGATACTAAAACAAATGGAATTGAATGAGAAAGTAAAAAAACAACAAAAAAAACAAAAAACCTAGGGGGATTCTGTGAAATAATTCAGTTTGAGACATGCGACATTAAAGGTGCCTCTGAGAAACGGAGAATTCATAATAAAGTAAGACATTTGAATCATTTTAATACGTAGAGGGTAGTTAAAACAGCAAGTTTGAATGAAATAACCTAGAGATTAAGTATGGAGTGGAAAGAGAAGACAAAACTTAGGTTGAGCAAAGATGAACTTAAAGCAAAAGAAACAATAAGTTGTACACAAGAAATAGGTTGAGAAAAACCACAAACCCCAAGAATGTTGAATCTTGATCACAGTAAATCTTACTCAGTTACATAAAATTCTCTCACACAGGTTCTAGCAAAAAATGTTCATTTATTTGTATTGGCATGACTATATCTATATATTCTAATGTGGTGAGGAAGTGTATTGTGTATAGATCATTATCTTAGGATGCTCAACAGATTTTATTAATAAAACAGCTATTCATCAAAGGTTAATTAGAAAATTTATGGTAAATTAGAAAATATACCAAGGGATATTTTTAAAATATAAAAATTAAGATTAATTCATGAACCAAAGAGATAACCTTTTCTACAGTCCTGGCCTAAACCGTCCAGAATGATAATAGAGATCAAAGGTGACATAAAATCGGGAAATCCAAAAAGATTCACAATTATGCCTATAAGTTCTCCTACCATTCTGAGGGCAATGAAGAATGAGGGTCCCGTCTGTGTCCCGAGTCAAAGTTACAGAGTTCACAGTTTCTACTGTTACTGTGTCAGAATCCTCTTCAACTGTGCTCATACTCAAATCTGTGCAAGAACATATTTTAGATTAGGATTAAAACATTATTTCCAAAAAGGAACTTAAAGTAGCCCTCTAATTTCCCGACCTCCCCCTGCAAAACCCCCACAATGTGCATCTGCCTACAGCGTTCTTCTAGGTGAAACTGCGGTGCCAATTCAGATTTTAAACACTGTTCTTCAAAAGTTTATAACCATTATTTAGAATTAGATATAGCTCTGGCTGGTGTGGCTCAGCTGGCAGGGCGTTGCCCTGAGCACTGAAAGGTAACGGGTTCAATTCCTGGTATTCAGCATGCCTGGGTTGCAGGGTCGATCCCCAATTCCCAATAGGTGGTATGCAGGAGGCAGCCAATCAATGTTGCACTCTCATATTGATGTTTCTCTCTCTCTTCCCTCTTCTCTCTCAAAAATAATCAATTAAAAAGTAAAATTAGATATAATAATCTGTAAGAATTGACTGCTATGATTAAAAACCTATAGTATTCACTTTTTAAAGAAATGTATTTTACCACATGCAATGAAAGTCGTCATGTCAGCAAGTCTCACCGCTTTTTAATTATTTTATTGGCAGCTTTGTGATTTATTTAAATGTATTTAACTTTTGATTCTTTAGTAGAAAATTCATTAAAGCTTTTGTCTTAATCTAAGAATTACTTCTCCAAAACATTTTTACACGTATTAAACTCTATTATCTGAGAAGTAAAAACACTAAGTTGTTCTTTTAAAGTTTTTTTCATTAATATTAAACAAGTGCATATATCCATCATTGATAAAATTGTTTTTCTAATAGAGATGAAGCAATACCTTCTTCTGAAATAGAGAACCGTTTTTGTTTAAACTGATATTTTACACATATAATATTCTTCTTTTGTTCCGACAGACTGATCAACCTTAGAATATAGTATTCATGGTTAATAGGGGAAAATCTATTGAATTATAATTAACTAGAGGCCTGATGCATGAAATTCGTCTAAGAATAGGCCTTCCTTTCCCCAGCTGCCGGCATCGGCTTCCCTCTGGCATCCAGAACCCAGGCTTCCCTCACAACTCTGGCATCATCCTGAAGGTCATCCAGGCTAATTAGCATATTACGCTTTTATTATTATAGATAGGCTGGTTGAACTCTTCAGGCATACCTTATAATGTTCAATGAAGTTCTTGCCTCAATACTCAATTTTGATCTTGTCCATGTACTTTTTACCAATTATCATAAGAAAGGGGACATAAGCCTTGGTGTATATTAAATTATTCACATATTATTTGGCTTTGACACACAAGATATTAGTGTGTTCATATATTTACCATTTACACATATGCACTTCCCCCGGCAGAACAACTTAGGATCTACTAACATTTTACATGGTGAAGACCCAGAGAGACTCACTAAAGTTTTATTTTACAAATTGCTATTTTAAAAGGACATCATTCATTTTACAGTGGTAAAGATATCATTCCCAAATTAAAGATAAGTGGGAATCATGATCTAGTGTGATTAAAATTTGCAGTTATTAAGTGAGGTCCGTGGAACAAGGCAGGCTTACCTAGAAAACAGGTGAATCAGCTGTATCCCTTCCCACAGAATCAAGTCGCCTTCCCTTAGCCACCAGCATCACTTTCATGTTATCCAGATTGTTTTTCCCCCATGATTCTATAGCTGCAACACTGAAAAAATAACAGCATTACACAGTAAGTCTTGTAACTACACTTGTGTGCTAGTAGTATAATATGCTGATGACACTCTAGCCTTGTGTGTTACGTCAACTAGAAAAATGACAAAACCAGAATTCTCAGACCTTTAGGAAATCAGCCTCTAAAAGTATTCCGAGTGAAGGGCAGAAATGATGAGATTCTGATGCCCACTGAGTTAATTCAAAGGCAGTCTCTCACCCATTTATCCCTCATCAGGCAGTCAAACATTCTTGGAAAAAAAAACAGCTGGAGATGTTAGTGCTTCTATGAATTATAGACTAGGTACATATAACATGACCCATGATGTACCTCAACTAATTCAGTACCCTAAATCTGACCAGTATCTTTTCTTTATAACAATTACCACCAGGGAGCATTTGAGATCTCGCTCCCAGCATACATTATAATTTTGGCTCAAATAAACTCTTATAGAAATTAAAAAATAGTAACTAATTCCATTCTTTTTGTAATATCTGTTTCATCTTGAAGCATTAAAAATATATATCTGTGAACAATCCTGTCTAGGGATCCGTGTATGGGTGGGTGGGGGAGAGGGGGTAGAATCCCAAGTAATCAGGCTGGAAAAAGTAAATTACAAGCAAGCTTTTGAAGGCAATATGAAACTTACAAAACCTGAAATAATTTTTAAACTTTTTTTTCAGAGTCTACAAAGACATTTGTTTATGACAGCCATGACTTAGAACATTTGAAAGTTCTTCTGGGAATATGATTTGGGAAAAATGTGGTGAGAGGTGAGACCCAACAGCCCATGGGCAAGTTAAAAGATGTGCACCAACTCTCTGGGGTGAATCCTGCTCTGACATTACGCCATGTTTGCTTGGCAGCACCCTGACATCTGAGTGGTTGGAAGGCCCAAGGTTATTTACTTGGGGCCTTTCTTCTTTTTCACGGGTGCTTTATCTAGTGTTTCACTGCTGCCTCAACTTGCTTTTGTCACTTTTTCTTCTCTTTTTGGGGCTTTGGAGGTAAGTCCTGGTCATTAAGTAGCACACACAACCCTCTCCATCTCAGCAGAAGTGTCATAATTCCCATCCCAATAATGGTCTCTGAGCTGCTGCTCAATTTGGCCTCTTTTTTTTTTTTTTAGTTCTGAGTTGGGTATAATTTTCCACATCTATCTTTTGCCTTTTCTTTCCTTCCCTTTTGGTCTCTGGAACATAATGCCCTGCAGCCATGACCTGTGGCTTGTTCTTTAGCTCTGCCAGCTGCTTGGCAAAGCACTCCTGGATGGTGAAGGCACTTGTCATAGTGGAGGTTTCATTCCCATCTGGAGCAGCAGGACTAGAATCCTCCTCAGGAATTTTCTTACTCTTTTCCCAAAAATGCAGTCAAGATCTGTTTTGCTTTAAGATGACAGATCCTTCCCTTTTGTGAATTTCTTATAATGAATGTGGGTTTTTGGAGATACTGGACTTTTCTTCAAGGGTGAAAGATTTCTTTTCCTTGTTGTCTGAGGAGGAATCACCATGCTGTTTCCAGTCCATGGCAAGTGTTCAGTTCAGCCAGAAGCTGGTTAAAATCATCCTGATGAGCAATCCAGGTGGTTATTTTTGACTTGAACTTTAATATGACCTGTGGCTCCTTACTCTTGATACCCTAAACTCTTTCCTTTGGACCACATCATCTTTGTTAGCATGCTCTGGTCAAACATGGAATCATTACTCCACATGGTGTTTCTCAGATCCATAGTCCACTTCTGTTTTCTCTGCCACTCAGCCATCACTGACATGTCACAGAGCCTGTGACGAGTGGCCCTCTGGACCTAATTAACAGAAGCTATGGAGCAGACAGCTAAGAGAGAAGTTAGGGAAATGATTGGTTTCTAAAGGTTTCTTTCAATAGGCTTCTCATCTTTATCCCAAAGGGTCAACCAAAAGTTCAAAAGCACAGCAGGTGTTGAGGTTCAAGGGGGATAGTTATATATGAGAACTGCTGTACATAAATAAAGCAGTGAAAAAGGTACAGATCCTGCTAGGGAAATCGTCAGTCAGCTATTATATTTCATGCTGTCCTTATTTCTGAACCCATTCAATGTTTTTTAAAGCTGGTTTGCAAGTAATATCTACTGTAGAAGATGGAAAAATAGAAATGTTTTAAAAAGCTAATATCTATAAACTTGCCAAAACCAGAATTCAGTGTCTTTGGTGTGTGGGGGTGAGAGACAAGACTGCAGGGGATAAGCAATTTTATATCCTGCTACTTGGAGTTCATTCATATTGAAAAGTGTGAAGGAAACCATGGTTAAGTATTTAATTGAAGCTGCCTGTATCCTTTAAAACTTTTACTGGATAAAAAAATATATTTAATAATTACCCTATCATTGGACATTTATGATGTTCCCAATTTTTCACTTCATTAAAACATACTAAAACATTTATTATATACTCTATTTCCTTAAATAGTAATTAGCAAAAGTTATTAAGTAAAAAAAAAAAAAAAATGAACACCTAAATCACCTTACAATCTATTTTCCAGAAAGGTTGCAAATTTATATTCCAATCTTTGATATGTAAACTCTATTCCTGATAACCTTGACAATATTTTTACTTAAAAAGGAACTACAAAGCAAAAAGAGCACAACTGCTCATTTGATAGGTACAAATGGTTACTGGCTGAGCATTTAATGAAAGTCATCTTGGGACCCAAGTTAATCTAAAGCTTAGGGAAAAAATAAAACAACAAAATAAAGGTAGATTAGAGGAGACATAGTAAGAAAGTAGCACAAGGAAAAAGGAGTATTGGAAAGTAGAGGGTTCTCATGAAACCTTTAGTAAGGTGAAATGGTTAAAGCATACCAATTACCTACCATTAATTTACAGGAAAACATTTTTGAGCTTTCCAAGACCCAAAAAATAATCTACCAAATCATACCAAATACAGGCATACTTTATTTTATTGTGCTTTACAGGCATTTTTTTTTTTTCAAGCAACTGAAGGTCTGTAGCAACTATGTTGAGCAATTTGATTGGTGCATACTTTTTGCAGTATACCGTAGTATAAACATAACCTTTACAGTATACACTGGGAAAATAAAATGTGTGACTTGCTGTGCTGCAGTGGTCTGAAACTGAATCTGCAATACCTCCAATGTATGCTTCTGCACTTAAGAATGTCCAGTTTTACACTAAGTGTCAACAGCCTAACCAGCACTTGGGCTTTTTAACACCCCAGGACACATCTTGCTAATGGATGCACAAAACAGAGATAATGCACAGATGCTCAGTTTTACGCTATGGCGGCTTGATGCGGAGAAGTTACATTACTTGAAGAGACTTCACTTGCAAGTAT